ATAATCAAAAGAATCCCTAATTGAATTGATTATTAATAATCACTATGAAGTAAATCTGCATATATTTATCTCAACAGCTTCAATAAGAGACTTTGAATTTTATTATTAGTTAGAAGATTAATACTCTACTCCATTAGTTTATAATTGCTATTAATTTATAAATGGCATTTGTGTAAATTGTTTAGATGGATGGGAATTTAACTAATTTCAAAATTCATGTAATCCATTCTGTGGTAATCAAATCATTCAAGACCTTGAATAATGTGATGATGGTAATGAGATTCAATATGATGGATGCTTTTAATGTTAATTCTAATGTGATATTCATTGTACAATTTGTAATTTTATGGTTTGTTAAGAATGTGAAAGTGGTTATCTTGTTACAAATGATTAGAGTGTATTTCCTTAATGCTAAAAAGAAATTTGCATTAATCATTGTATTGTTTGTCATGAGAATTAATGCTAGGAATGTGAAGAAGGATTTACGCTAAATAGTGGAGATTGTATTTCAATATGTGGGGATGGAATAATTATTTCAGAATATGAACAATGTGATGATGGTAATTAAATATAATATGATGGTTGCTATCAATGTAAATATTCTTGCCCTTAACTATGTTCTAATTGTTATTAAGGAATTTGCCTACAACAAAACTAAGAAGACGATAAAAATTTATTTAATTAAATTAATCATTATTGTGGAGATGGTTTAGTTTAGGATTAAGAAGAATGTGATGATCAAAATCTTATATCTTATGATGGTTGTTCTAATTGTAAGATTCAAATTGATTGGATTTGCTCTGAATTAAATAGTGAATGTGCATTTAGAAAAATGCCTCTTTTATCTGTTAGTTACTAGCATATGAAAATGAATAAGCAATATATTAAGTTAGAGTATTCCAAAACAGTTCCATCTAAAGATTTAGTCTCGGTAGCAAAGATGATTCAAATTGAAATTTTAGATCTGAATGAGGAATTTTATAATTTGAAGCTTATCCCTATTTTGGAGATTAACGAAAACTTTTAAAATTTAAAATACTTAATAGAAATTGAAATATTCTAATTACTTCATTTTAGACCAATACTTATTATCAATATTAATCAAATAATAAAAAATTATAAAAGGAGAACTGTCAATTTTCCATATGAAAAAGATGATAATTCTTCTAAGAATAATTATTATCACTTAACACTTTAATATCCATCTTACTTAAATTAATAATAAATAAGCAATTCTAATTTGGTTACTAGTATTAATACCTACACTATTAAGAGTTTAGGAGTTATTACTGGTATTTCGTTTATATTTGCAAATCCAGATTAATTGTTAATAATTTTTAGTATGCTCTCTTATTAATAATACTTAAGGTACATTAATTTATAATTTCCATAAAATTTAATGATATATTTCTAATTGTATAACTTAATAAACATAGAACCAATTGTTGAACTGTTACATTTTAATTAAGTTGCAAACTTAACATTTTTTTATGCTATAAAATCTTCTATTGGAAAATTTGAATACTACAATCAAAATGCTGATCTCCTTTCCAACCTTTTATGTTAAATTTTATAAAGTATATGATATCTATTAATAATTATTATTATAAAATTGTGTAAAACTTATGTTTATAACAGAGTTTTCAATAAAAACTATTCTTATTGTTTATATTACTGTTAGAAGAAACCTAAAATTATATTGCACTTTAATAAATACTTTTATAAAATATGCTAAAAGATGATTAAATTGGGCAAATATATAACATTTTAAGGCATAAAAAGTATTTTACTAATTAATGGATGGGATTTAATATTTAAAACTTTATTATATGTAAAATCGATTGGAACTTTTTCTAGCAGAGATGTGGGTTAAATCTTTTTATCCTTGATGATTTTATTATGCTATTTTTCTATTTTATTAGGAATTTTTGAGAGGGTTTCTTTTATCAAATTAAAAGGAAAAAGAAACTTTCTGAATGAGAGGTTTTAACTAATGAATCTTATTCGATAATTAATTTGATTTTTTTCTTAATTTTTATTTAAAGTGATCCAATCTATTAGATTGGAATGATATCATTAACAAGTCTTTTTACAATTAAATTAATTTGGAACTATAAATTTATATTTTCAACCACTTCTTTTTACACATAACTTTATGATGAAGGCACTGTATTTGTTTTTACTTTGACTTCTTTTGCTTATATAACAGATTTTAATGATTTGATAAATTAAAATTTTAAAATAATCTTAGGATGGTTTTAAATGATTATTTTAACCTCAGGCTTTGCTATTGAATTATTATCAATGACTTTTGAAAATTTTCAGCAATTGAAAACGAAATGTAAATCTTAGAAATAAAATAATAAAGTTGAAAAAATGTTTATCTGCTGTAAGGAATGAAGTTTAATTCATTATAATTATTATTAATCAGTCTAAGATCTTTTTATAAAATCAATTTTTTATATAATGTAAACTTAAATTATCCAATAAAGTAAAACAACCCAAGATTTAATTATTAAATCAATCACAAACTAAAATTTATATATTCATCTATTTCAGTTTATTTATTTAATTCGTATTTTCAGGTGATATTTACAAATAATTAAGTTAAGCATTAAAATTATAATAAGTTTTTACTAAGATTATCTAAATTTTTATCTATAAAAGTTAAATTTTTGCATAAAAATATAAATTTACAAAAAAGGTATCTCACAACTTTTATTAGCACATTATTCAAAGTTCTATTCAAAAATGCTATTTTCAACATAAAATTACATATCCTATAATGTTAACAAAATTCATTTTGAATTAAATTCTCTAATTTATAATAATATTTATGTCTTCAAAAATTGAATATGCGGCACCTTTTATTTTAATTCCAAACACAATTGCTTTTTTGCAGAATAAATCTTCAGAAACTACAGCAAAGGATTAAAATTGCGAATAAAAAAAAATATTGCTTCAATATTTTTAAATTTTAATTGAGAACTATTTTAAGTGCAAACGTAGTTCCATTTGTACTATTATGTCTTTATTTTTGTTTTATCAATTTTTTTTTTATTTAAGCGATTTCATCCTTATTTACATTTTGAATATAAGTATGGCTATTGATAGTAGATTCATAACTACCAAATAATTCAATTGTAAAAATCTTATCCATAGTTTCTATTACTTTTAGATTAGGTCTTAAATATGTTTACCAATCTAATTGCTATACTTATAATTATCTTTTTTCAATAACCTTTCTACATGTAGTAAAAGATTTTCCCATGCTTTTACTATATAAAACAGCAATACAAGCACATATTGTAATTATTTGCATCTCTACAATCCAAATCAGCCATTACATAATTATACGAAATTCAATTCCTGTATGAGCAAATCAAACAAGATAAATGATTTGACGAATTATCATGCTACTCATCATAAAGATTTTCACAAAATTATTTGTATTATTAATATTTATATTACTTAAGATTTGGAGAAGCTATCTTCATTATCAAAACGAGTAACAAATGTTTTACAATATAGCGAAAGAAAGGATGGTTATTCTATAGAAATTTAAAAAAATTACTAAGAATTCCTGCTCATAACAATTATGGAAAATTTATAAATCATGGTCCTGAGATTATTTGGATTTTTACTATTCTATATTGTTGGAATTTCATCGATAGATTAGCTCATGTCCATTCAATTTAACTAATTATTTTCACATCATTGATCCAGATGCAATTAGTAATGAATGAGAATTAAAGGAATTGCAAACTATTTCAATTAATGACTCTAGATTTTCCTAAATTCATAGCAGTTATATCAAGAGAGTTTAATATAATCCAAAATATAATTTTCTTTTCTTCTAAGGTGACCAATTTCTATTGAATTAGAAATATATTGGACATTTTAATATTGTATATCAATTAGTATATGATTTTTTAATATTTATTAAAAAGGGAAGACTTAAAATTTCTACAGCAGCATTCTTCGAGCTTAAAAATTTATTACTCTCTGGAAATATTAGAGTAACTCAATTTCAGAAAATATAAATATTGAACGACCATATTTTCTTAAATAGGATTCTTTTTTTTTTAATCGTTGATTATTTATTTCATGCACTTATTTTAGGATCTTTACAAAAGCAATCATTATTAATTAATTAAAGAAAAATAGATATTAACAACATTTACAATCCCAATTTTTTTAAATTCAGGACTTTTTTTAATATAAATAAGATACTATTTAATTCATAGTAAAAAACTTAAACAAAAGTAATAGAAAATCAATATTTTTTTAAATAGATTATGAATTGCACTTATCATATTTAAAAACAAGCATCCTCCATATGTAAAGCTCCTCACAAATGTTAATGCTAAAGGAAACTGTGTGTTGAATGCCTTTATGACCATGGAGTGGATATCATCAAATAAACAGTTTCGATTGATAGATTTAGAACAATGGTTATAAAGAAACTACAAGAATCAAAGTTAGATGAGACATCTGAAATAACAAGCTAAAGAATGAATTTCAAATTTATCATTTCAAAATTTGAGATTATAATAACATTTGGGAAGAATTAGAAGAATCTATAAAATAAATATATGATATGATCGAACAGGAAAATAAATAATACATTAACCTCATCAACGAAAATATGAATATAGCAGAAATCTCTTATACTGACTTAGAAAAATTAGTATAAATTTTAGTTGGAAACACATTAGATTTATGGAATACTTAGAAAAATTTAATAGTTGACAAAGTTAGAAAAGGCTAAGAATTGGTTGAGTTAAGAAGTTAACGCTTTTGATGAAAAGATAAAAAAGGAAATGAATTAATTCAATTTAATTAATGAATCAAAGTTTATATCAAACATTGTTTAGGAAGTGAAACCACTAATTAAATATAATATCATAGATCAAAATAAAATGCAATCATAACCAAAATAACAAAATTAATAATCACTAATAATCTCATAATAATCATAATAATAAGCCTAATAATAAGCCTAATAACAAGATTAAATTAAATCACTATCTTAATTCAATTCTAAACATTTTCTTATGAATTAATTTAAGAGAATTAAATTAAATTGAGTGAATTTTGTTGGGCTTTTGCTTTTAATAAATTCAATAGCAGCTACATGTGATTCATAAATAAAGATAAAGGAAATGTGAGAACTTTATATTTTATGAAATAATAAAATTAATTTATATCTGGATAATTTGGTTAAGCATTAACAATAATTAATGGAATTAT